CGATCGTCGTGCTTCCGCGGAACAGGCGTAATCCTATTCCGCGGTACGTACACGAGCAGGCCGCAGGTTTACGCGACGATGCGGCGGGGAAAACCGCGCGCGTGAGCGCTCGATCAAAATTCCGCGAGCGCGCGTTTCGCGGCGAGGTATATCGATTCGTACGCGGGAACGTACGCGGTGCGGTGCGGTGCGACGCGGGGCGGCGCGGCGCGGCGCGGCGCAGTGTGCCGATAGGTACATGGGTAATTCAATATAATCGGATTATGAGAGCGGCGATACGCGGCCGCAAAAGCGGTCGCGTCCGCGGTGAGAGCACTCAATGTTTTGCGAGCGCGCACTCGCGCCGAGAGGGGTAGGTATACGTATTAGATTATAAACTTCACAGAGAGACAGAGACCACAGGCGGCTTCCTCTCTATCTCGGTCCCGGCGACACATTAGCCTCCCTATCCTCCGGGGAGATCATCAGCGTGTATATACATGTACGCGTACCTCCTAACCGCCTGGAATTTCAACGAGCGCGAACGCGGCGATCGTTCCGAGCGTTCCTCCGTTCTGCCGTGCGTCAGAACGTAAAAATCGACCGAGCGTCGCGTTAACCTAGCCGCAAGTGCTCAAATTTAATGAAACGCTCCGACCAGAGAGGCTCACGGGAAAAACTGTGTTACAGCGCGCGCGCGCGATCGATTTCCCGTTTCAACTTTCCACCGGTGAAAAAAAACACTGTTGTTTTGCAACGACATTTGATTTAAAGCTAGATCGTAATTCGTACGTGCGTGTTCGAGGATACACGTTAAGAAAGTTCTTTATTATTTTCCTTTGTTATATTCAAGTTTGCGAACGTATGCGTACGCGATGTTCCTGCAATTTGAGACTCGCCGATCGAGAAAAATCGGAGCGGTCCCGGCACGCCATTATTTATGCCTCCGACGAACGAGCCAAGACATACCCATGCCCAAGGTTCCCGGAGCTTATTACGAATTTACGAACGACCTCTCGAGGGAAGCATTGCAATCTATCGGGGCTGTTTGTTGTCGCGTTACATCTGCGCGTTTCTGGCCCCATGCAGAATCCCAGAGCCCGGCGTGTCCCACCCTATATCCCCTGGACGTAGGGGACACGCCGCGGGGCCAGATTCGCCCCAAAGTCCATTATTACCCGTGTATTGTATTGCTTAACATTGACTCAATTGCTTTCGAATAACGCGAGCGAGAGAATACTCGTTCGCTCGTTCGCTCGCGCAAGCGCGTGCTTTGCCCTCTCGAGCATCAATCGAGTTATTCGATTTACTGCTCTTTTTCGGGGGACATGCTGACCTTCCTTCCGCGCGACATAATTCATTCGCTGTCAAATCTGCCGAAGACCGGGTTCATAGGATCTCGACTTTTGGAAGTCTGTAGCAAAGTTTGATTCGTATAGACGTACGTTTCGTCGCGACTTTTCGGTATTGTAATAAAATTTCCTTAAAAAGAAAAGACCGTACAAATTTCCAAACCGTGTCAAAATTCAATCTTGATGTTCCGCACGAATTCTATACGTGGAATCATTATGTTTCTTTTTTACATAGTTATTGGAAAAGAAGACGTCTGATGACTTGCGTCTACATATAAAAGAGGAACAATATTGATCTCCGACACAAATTGTTGGTCTATGTAACGATTGTCATTTTACTAACTCATCACCTGAAATTCGATTCGCGTGCAATCTCGATTACAAAGTGGAACTGTCCCTAGGAGATACCCCTAAACTCCAGTAAAACCGTGCCGTAACGTGCGGTACGCATCTATACGCCGCGACGCAGCGCGGTCGCGATTAACTCGGCCGATCAAATCGTAAAATTCGAGCGGGACCGGGAGCGGGAAGAGAGCATACGAGGCACCGCCGTCGCTGCCGCCACCGCCGCCGGTGTTTGAAACGAGGGTTTTATAGCGGTCCAGGAACAAACCCTGCCGCTCGAATGGTCGGGATCGTCGCTCTCTCCGGCCGGCCGGACAATCACAACTTGACAGGGAGGTTTAACGAGCCCTATGCTAGGCGCACCCCGCCCATCCCACTCTCGGATGGTCATTTAATTATTCGAGATACCCCAGAACACGTTGGACTATCTACCCCCACCACGTATTACGTCCGTACTGTCGTCCCTCTTGCCGTCCCCCTTACCGTCGTCCATCCCTATAGCTCGCACCGGTCGGTTCCGTTCTCGACCTCACCCCCGGCAAGGGTTCGCGATACCCACACCCTCGTCACCGAAATAACGACACTCGTCCCACGTGCCACGTTCCTATATTAAACCGCCAGGATGGCCGGGAGATAATAAAGACGTATAATAGAATCGAAATTGTTTCTCTATCTATCAATGCCATACGTCGTCTACGCGCGCGAGCCACGCCGCCGCGCCGCGCGCGTCCAGCCCATCCCGACAGATTCAATTTAGTTTCGACCGGCCACGTTTAATTTGTGTCTTGATTCGTGGGTAATACGAGAGGCCGCGTATCGGCTTGGTCCGCGTGTGTGAGTGAACGAGTGTACGTGCGATCACGCCGGTTGATGTGCCATCGGTCCGTCGCCGATTCATTTTCCCTCGCATTTCGAAATTATCAAATTCGAGAGACACACGCACACACACACAGATAGAAGTAACATTCATCGACACTTCTGCATGTCGTTCTAATATTGGAATCGCTACTAGTGATTGATATCGAACGAGAACATATCTTTCCGGCGGGTTGTCATAAGTCAAAAGAGAAATACCGCTCTTCTAAAAATTCTTTAAATGTTTACAGATGATAATCGCGACCTGAATGATCATGCCGAGAACGATTTGAAAAGGCAAAGGAACAATTACAATGGTGATCAGCTGTACTCGAACGTAAGTATTGAAGGAATTTCCTATTAGTTTTATAGTGACTTGTCGAAATTCGATCGTACAAGCGACTATCTACATATATTACCGTACCGTAATTGGGATCAGGTTGAAATCTCGGGAGTTAAGCCTGATAGCATATATCCATTAAAATGCCCTAATCAATCAAAAGCAAGCAAGTTTCATAGAATCCGCGCGTAACTCTCGGCCAGCCCTTGCAGTAATCGGAGGACCGAGTCGGTCCGAGCTACAACATCCAAGTCAATCTTGGAGCTTGTTCTCGGATGTCCCTCCAACTCGCGAACTTCGACTTCAGGTTCTGCCGGTTCTATGTTGCAGCTGTGGTCGAGTAAATGGAGCATCAAGGACGAGCACAAGCTTCTAAGCGAGCTCGGCGGCGGCGGCGGAGGCGGCGGCACGACCGGTGGTACAAACGGCGGTGGAAACGGCGGCGGTGGAAATGGCGGTGGCGGTGGCGGTGGCGGCGGTGGCACTGGCGGCGGTAGCGGCGGAGGCGGCGGTTATTACGAACACAGCGGATTCCCCGGGAACGCTATTGCCACCTCCGCCGAGCTGTACGACTCCCTGGGCACCATCAGCACGATGACGCAGGCGCAAACGCCTCATCTCTACACCCCGCCCATAGGGGGCACCATAGGTGAGCGCGCTTGTTCCTTCTCTTTTCATCCTCCGGCACCTTCCGACACCCCTCTCATCCCTATTAAGCGTGGCCCTCCCTCTCTTTCTCTCTCTTTCTTTCTTCATCGTTCCTCTACTCGCACGGAAATCCCAGATAGATGTGTACACCACAACCTCTTGTACGTAATACCGACTTTCATTCCTCTACCTTCGTTTCCTCTACCTTCGTTACCCCGTACTTCATTCTCGTTTCATCCAAGACCCCCCCCCTCTCTCTCTCTCTCTCTCCCTCTCTTCTTTCTT